ATGCACTTTTTGAGCTATTTGTGTTACTTGAAATATCTTTATCGGTGATACTTTAATTGAAAAAAAAAAAAAAATTTCGATTAAACCACCGATGATTCACATCGTCAATTATGATTATGATACCCAATCAAATTCGTTATCGTGTTCGTTACACGGGCAAGCGTGTTAAAGAATAATATAAATAACAAATAGTGTAACAAATGAGCAAAGGTAGAAGTCGGAAACGAACGATCATTCGTTCGATCTAATTTACTTTTTATCACGGCAATGAGAAGTAAGAAATTTCTCCACATTCATCGTAGCAGCACCCGTTGACCGTAGTGATCGAGACCTATCTCGTAACGATAAAGATCGTTAACAGCCTTGGGTTGGGAAAATCGCTCGGCACCAATCGTTTCAGTAGCGAGTTTTCGAAACGAGCCCAAGCGTGTAACGCGTAGCTGACTGCAATCCGAATCGACCGGATCGCCGCGGCGGCAACGTGCACCGATCGTGCATTTCATGCACGTGCGTTGGACAAATGGGATTAGTCGGGTGACGAAAGTGTCCGCGCTTGGAACGGAACCGATCGCGCCGCTTGAAATTCCACGATGACGCAGAAGGAAAAGTGGCCGGTGGAACAGTTAGCCGGCGACCGGCAGAGAGCCCTGGTGAGCTCTGTTCACCTGAGAATTTCTTGCTGCGCGCGTATCACAAAGAGTCCCCTTGCCTTGGCTGATTGGCCTGACGAGAGATCGATTCGCCACCTAATGAAACCGGCTGGCTAGAACGAGACGCGATTCCGATTCTCCTGTTTAGTCTTTCGAGCATTTCAGAATTAAATGCTGATCTATGTATATATTTCCACCCAAAAATTTACTTACACCGTTGTGTAGATACTTATGTGTAGGTACACATTGTAACTTTACATTTACATTTTTAAGTTGATATCGCTGATTAGGAATCTGCAGCTTTATTGGTCTAAATGAATCGTCGTGTGCAAGAATTTGAGAAACTTCGCTTAGCTGTAGATATAAAATGACTGTGCCATCATTATTTTTATATTTTTTTTTATTTTTCGCGTCTTTATTTGATTTTCCTCTTTTGTAACTGCTACTCATTGTTCAACATTGTCCAGATAATTTTGTCGCTCTCAGAATATTAATTAATAATAATGTATTAAAATAGATAGTTAATAAATTGTAATTGTGTGGGCCCAATTCAACGTTTAGTCGAGTAACATTGGATGGTACTGTTAAGCAATCAGGGAAGAACAAACGTAGGCATAGGTTCGAAATTTTTATCGCGCTCGCGAAGGCTCATCGTGCATTGTGTCGTACTTGCAGCGAATTCGTAGGCGTTAAATAATGTTTCCTTAGGCAATTTACTGTTAGTGCTTGTTCGATATAACCTGCACCAGATATAACTCGAAACCGCATATTTACGAGCGGGCTGTAAAGCTCGCTTAGGCGCTGCACTATTTGCTACGATAAATTGGAGCACACCAATTTGTCTGGAACTCTCGGTTCCGCGGAATGATCATCCTTGCTGTTGACGATAACGATCGTCCGTTAAAATAATTTACGGTATCGGTGTAAGAGTGAAACACTCTCGGGCAGTTTTTTTCTTTCACGTTGTCGAAGAATAGTTTCAGAAAAACTTTATTTCATTAACGTAATTTCTTACGAGCATATACCACGTAGACAATGAAATTGACGGTGAAACGTACATTTGATTGATATTGATTGATTGTTATTAGGTGAATTAGTTAATTTTGAAGTTTCTCATTTAATTTCATTTCGACACGTTGCATGATATAATTAGTAGTTGTATCTGATTTAACATATAATTACTAATCACGTATGTATTTATTTATTGATAATGCGTTTAATAAATAATATACATAATAATTTTATTTCATTTATAAATTTAAAATATATTAAATATACATTTGTAAATTTAAAAACTTAATTTGGTTAGATTTAATCCATAATATGGTCATAAATCCAATGATAAAACGTTTAAACGTCAAAACTATCAATATTTTACAATTTTATTTCTAAAGATTCACTACGAGGATCTAAAATAAGAAGAGACAAGAAAGCTCAAACTATTTGTTGCAAAAATATCGCGAGTCATATACAAAAGATTCAGGATTGCTTTGTACAATTATACTCGTTCAAATTCCAGCTCATCATTGAACTCCATTCTAAATTCCAACAGATGTTGGCAAAGTAACGCAAAGAAATCTTGGTTGCGCAACTGAACGAATGTTTCAAAACGGGTTCCACCTTGTCATCAATGAACGGCGTTTTACGTTTCTCATTACACATACACGCATCAAGGTTCACTCGCGATGGAAAGGTCAGTGATAGAGCCACTGGTTAATAGTCTCTCGATTATTTCAACAACTGGAAACAGTGATTCATTCGCGGATCGTTCGGAACGTGGGCTGAAACGATCGACACCGATAGTAAAATGTGTGGCAATCGGCGTAGCGATTTTCCACGATGACTCAACGACCTCTGCACGGGACGAGCGTAAAAACTTCGAAACTTCGAAATTAGTTGGCGGTTCTTCTTCATTTGACTGACGTCACTGTCTCTTCTCTTCGTAGCGATCAGCAATATCGACAGGTTAATCCGTTAGGCGTCGCTTCAATAACTCTCTGTCGTGTTGCAACTATCGAGTAACAGGCAGGTATGCTAACCACCGTCATGCCCACTCGTGACGTTTTCATTAGACGGTCGGAAGAGGCCGAGGATAATCGGTCTCGATCGAACAGTTAGAACAGGACTCGAAACCGTTCGAGCGGTGTGGTTATTTTAATAAATAAATGCGTTACCTTCATACTTAGCATCCGATACTGCAATCTTCTTAGCATGCGAAGCTGTTGGCCTCGTAATGAGAGCGGCGTCTCAAACTCGTACAAATCAAGTTGATAAAATGAGGGATGGACGAGGATCAAGATCGAAACTGTTTCAAATTCTAAAAGTTCGATCTTGCATTTGTTACACAATTACACATTTTAAGCATTGCTTTGAAGGCTTCGCTGACAGGTCAGATTTGCATCTGGATTTCTCTCAACTCTTCTCGCAACGTTGCATGTTTTCATTTATTATTGCTTTTTGAATATCGATGGATTTAATATAATTTTTTTTTCTTTTTTTTTTGATATTGATGATATAAGATTTTGAGATTACAATTTTAGGACGTTATCGATGTCGTTTCGTATATCATTATTTCCCGAAATAGAGCTTAAAAGCTCCATTGCTAGTATATTCTTCGTTTCCTTTTTGTTTTATGTTTGTAGCATTAAGCATCGTTACACGGATCTATTGTAAATGTAATATTGTCTATTTTGCTAGTGCAGTCTGTCGTGTGCCACGATTTCTTAATTTCTTAATTATTAAATCATTTCTGGTTAATATTTGTATGGTGTTTTTTATGAAATTATTGGTGTATTATTCTGCCTGCTGTGTATAATCTACATTAATGCTAACAATTTGCATCCACAAGTTGCACAATCTATCGTCTATGAAAATCATCGGCTACGTCTATCACTAGAGATTGTTATTACCACTGTTTGCAGAAAGTAGAAACAGGTCGCTCTTGAAAATAGAGGAAAGATGTTATTTATGGAGGGATATAGTAGCAGAACGATAAAGAGTCAATGCGTTTCGTGACCATTTTTTCCAAGCAGCTCGACGTCATTACCGTGACGCAGTGGTTCGAGACAGCAAGCAGCTACCCTGATCTTAAACCTCGTTTGCTTTATTCCCACCGGTTGAAAAGTAATAGGTTCACGTTAGCCCGGTTTATTACCTCGTAATTTCTATCGGAAACGTCAGAAAACCAATATGGAGGAGGCTCGCGGGAATGTGTCTACTTTGTGGATAGGTCGGAAACGCCACGGTCGTAATCGTTGTTGGCCGTTGGTCTTTGGTGCACGTTCAGCAGCAACTTATTGCTACAAAGTGGTTCACGATTCAAAAGGAGAAGTGGACGGGTTTTCTGATAGCGAGCGAACCCGGGTTCTCGCCGCGCTGGGCATTAGCGACCTCTTTCGAACGTTGTCGAACGCGTTCGCGCAGAGAGCATAACCTGTTTCAGTGATCTAAGCCGGTTATCACAACCGTTCCCGTTTGCTTTTGCCGGGGCATAATTTACGTTTTCCTGAAAACGTCTACTGGATACCGGGCCCATTAAGAGCTAACCGCTGGTTTGCCGACGATTATGCTTCGCTATCAATTATGGCCAACCACTGCTGTCTATTCTTCGTTTTCATTTTTTCACATTTTTCCTACTTTCCTCTCTTCTATTCTCCCCTCTTCTTCTTTTACGATTTGTTCTCTCTCTTGGATCAGGTTTCGCGAGCTTTGATTTATTCCCTGAGAGGGAGAGTGGCGAATAGGAAGAATAGAAAGCTAGTGAAATTGATATCGAGTCGAGGTGATCTTGAAATTTTTCTTTTTTTTCCAGTTTATTTAGGGTAGTCAGGACGTTGATCGTACATTGCGCAAACGTAATTGACAGCAATTGCTTGTTCGATCGGAGAAAACTGCAGAGCGATCAAATCTCTTGCGAAAGAAATCGACGCGACATTCAAATGAATCTCCTCGGGCCCGATTATAAGGGAGCGCGCGCAATATGCTCGTTAGGTATCCTAAACGAGCGAAACGGGGTCAAAGACGACCGATGTTACTTATAGAATCGATTAAATTGAAAATTATACGTGATGAAACAGCAATTGCATTGACGCGTATAAATGTCTTCAGTAATCTATATAACGTACCTTTATCTTACAGTATAATCTTCAGTGTCTTATAATGTATTCTAACCTTCGATTCAATAACGAACATCTTCTTCATTGTTAATTTCTATGAAGTTAACAACGTGTGCTGATATCATGGCCACATGCATGCTAATTTATGTCAATTAAAAGTTTGAATAGAAATTCTGTGAAATACAGTAGGATTCTCGTTTATTGTAATACGTAACATTACTAAATGAGGATATTATTATTGCAGGACTATAATTTATTTAATTGAATCAACAAGATGCGTCCTTATTTCGCTGTACTTTTATAGATCGATCGTTATATTTTATCGCTGAAAGGCTAGAACTTTCAACTTTATAGATGGAAAACTTTATTAAAATTCACGATTATTTCTTTGTGATAAATAAATTCGTAAAAACAAGACTTTTGCAAATTATTAAAATATTTAAAAATCTTTTCAGCACACACTCTTAATGATTTCCTTGCCTAGTACACGAACGAACACAAGTAAAAACTCAATCAAGCGTGAAATTCTAATTCTAATTCTTAAAGATCTCAAGAGTTAAAACACCTAATATCAACAATAATCTCCTAAAGTATTTTAGTATCACGTAAGAAATGAACAACTATAGTGTAACCAAAAAATGTGCAAGAATTGACACATATTAAACCACCAGCATAAAACTGTGTATAATTACTGCTGTTGAGAAATAATTAAACACTGAGTCAAACATACCTGGGTAACCCTCTGGAATGACTATCTCTGGCCCCACTTGGACATCGTGCCGATAACGATGGATCAACAGGGTCGCGGTAACCCGGAGCGATCTCTGTTGCTGTTTGTACAGCAACACCGGCCTGCCGCCGGTACCTTCGAGCCTGACCACTCTCGGTAACGAGAATCGATCGAGGAACTCTCGGAGGGGCATGTAGCCGCCACTCGAGCCGGAACTACCCTCGGCCGTCGCTTCTCTCGAACTCGGCAGTGACTTCGGCAACGAAGGCACCTCCTCGCTGGACATCGTCGAAAATTCACCGTTCGACGACATTGTTCCACACTACATATATGTTATCTCTCACTGATTTCGTCTAACCTCGTCTAGCACAACGTTCTTCTGTTTGTTCTCGGCCGATCGATGACACGATGCTGCATCGTTGAACGTAGACAAACTCGGACACGATTTTACAAGAGATTTCGCGTATCATTGACGAGAAGACACTTTGAAACGTTTCTTCAGAACTTGCATTCTAAATATCTTGCAGAGTGGCAGATCGTCGAAACTCAGTCCCGAGAGAACGCGTCGCTCGTCACTGACTTTTCGTAGCATTTTCGTCATCTGGTCATTGCTGCTTGATGGAAGCTGGCTGTCAATTAAGCAACAGGTTCAGCAACTTTCTTCGGTTATGTCACTCGGGGTCAGCGCGTTCACTGTCACTTTCCACCTCGGCGTCGCAGAGAAGCTAGTAACCGCTAGTACCACGCTATCACGACGATAGACGGAATCGATCTAGATTTCAGAGTCGATCTCGATCAATCTGAGAGCTGATCGTCATTTTAGTCATCGTGCTGTGACCGAGAATTCATTCACTGTACACTAACTGTTACCGCAAGCAACAGCACGCAGTGAGATCACGGTTCGAAAGGTGTTTCGTCGTTACAACGGTGATAATTCGTTTAATCCTCCTCGTTACCGATCCTTCGACTCAACGTCGTGGAAATTCTCTTCTCTAGCGTGTCTTCACTTGTACCTTTGGCGAGCAACTCTCTGTCTTGCAGATCGCGTTGTGAACCGACGCTGATCATCCTTGCCTTTTCGACGAGGACGGTCGTTGGAGGAGAATCTTGCGTCATTCTTCCAAACAGCTGACGATGATTCGTTCGGTCGATCGTCGACTAGTTTCACGATTTCCTTGAAATCTCACCGGGGAACGCCACTCGAACCGGGAAGTTCGCATTCCTCTCGACGAAAATTCCGTTTCGTTCAGTGATCGGGAGATATCGGCGAGTCAACCGATCTATCGGTGACGTGACAACTGTTGCCTGCCCCTTCTGGTCGCATCTTCCGACTCGGATAACTCGACAAAACTTGTCACGTGTCTCGAAACGTGTACCTTCGTCTCATCGTTCCATCCTGGCAGGATCTATCGTGATACTTGATAATTCGAGACTTTGTTCTTCGGAGGAAGATCAAAGATCTCCTTTCAAACTTTTCAATGTATGAACGTCAAGATTCACTCTTTCCTTGCCGATGAAGAAAAATTTCCCGCATACGCATGAAAAACGAGAGGCAGCGACCGAGCAAGTAGCGAGCGCGAAAATTTTCGCGACCGAGCGATACGTTCTCGACCCTCGAGGAAGAACCGATCGAACCGGCGGACGCGAAGTCACTGACGCTCGGCGTGACTGAGGCCCAGCGTAAGAGGCCCACTGACACTAACACTGGCAACTGCTTGTATCGTACGATTCGTACCTCTTTCTACCACACGCAGCCCTGTCAGTGGCCGTACTACCAGCAGCGCTTGGCGAACTTGGCTCTCCTCCGGAGTCTTCTCCTCCTCGGAGAAGTGGAAGTGCCACGGCTAACAGAATACGTGGCTGTATATGCGGCCGACCTACCGAGACAGGGACCTGGGCTTATTCAATAGGGGTTCTATTGTGTCGAGGCTGGAGCGCTCCGACAGAAGCGAGAACCGCCCTTAATAGTTTCTCTGGAAACGTAATCGGGCGTGGTAAGTGAAGTTGCTGCGTGTGTACGCGTCTCTGGTTACGAGTATCGATAGTTTGACAGGGTACATGCGAGCCGATGGTATTCGTTGCCGGTGAATTAGCGTGACAGAAACGAGTACCGAGATCGGTTTGCGTACACTGCCGTTCAAAAGTACAAGCGGCAACACTTTGTTCGTTCAACAGTTCGATATCGATTCTCGCGAGATTGCACATACATTGCTTGATAAATTGGAATGAAATTTTTACCGTGTTAGAGATGTTTTATCAATAAGTGGATTAAACTAGTCTTATGCCTGCATATTCGTATACTATATATTTTGTGTATAAGATCTTCGACAAGTTT